TCTTTCTTTGGACCTACAAGAGATCTTTTATTCTGAATTTCAGTGACAGTTTACTCTGACATTACAAAGTCCTTCCAAAATACCTGTTCTGTTGGGAACCTTTGACGTAGACTGATGCATTACTTAGACCTGTCAATGTATTTAAAAACTAGCAGCAAACAAAAATAAGGTGGGTGGTTTTTTTTTTCTTTTTATGTTTGGAAGGATGGAGGGAAAAAAGCATAGTAGAGAAAAAACAGGTGAAAGTACTGGCTACAAGGAGTCCTCATCCCCAAATTGCTTAGATGTCATGTCTTGATTCTGCTATAATGGAGGTGGAAAGAGAACCAGAGTAGCTTCACGTAGAAGCTTCACCTTTCGGGAAAGGACAGGACAGGTATAAGTCGGCAACCCTACTTGGTTTTGGGAGGAACAAACAGCATGGAAATGAGCAGAAAGGGCAGGCAAAAAAAAATTGAGAGATCCAGTTTTGACAGTATAGCTCAGAGCTATGCTAGGCTATTCTGCTTGTAAGTTCCTTGTGGGATTCCCCTCGATAAAAATAATTAAAATGTGCACTGACCAGTATGCATGACACGATTCTCTTCACTACCACCTAGTGGGAAACTCCTTCATTAACTGAACTCCAGAGCTGCTCCTGCTCTCCAATGTCATCCTCACCCTGATGGTAGGAACAGTGAGTAAGTGAAGGGGGAACAGAAGGATGACTGGGAAGAAGGACATCCTGTTTCCCAGTACAGGAAGAGGAATGTAGAGAGACAGACAGCCTATAATTTAAACCCATTATGCCTGATAGGATTATCACACCATGCCTTCTAGCTCTGCGTCCAGGTCAGTTCTTAATGGTGTTTACACCTTAGCCTCAGTTTAATTGAGACTCCCAAAGCTTAACAAATCTTGTCTTTAGAAATAAAAACATTTGTTCTTCTGGATGCAACTGAATTCTGCAAACAGTGGTAAGGAGAAGCTTGGGAAGTTATTCCAGTGTCTCAGTCAAAAGGTAGCCTTGCCCCCTTCTTGTCTGGGAAGTGTAGGTTGTTCTGCTTCTGATTGTACTACTGAAAGTATGGAAGGAGGCACCACCTTCTCCATAAAATCACATTTTCTATTATAATCACGTATTTACAACAAAGACTACTAAATTGAAACGTAAATGGGTATATATTTGGAATGTTAAACCTGTGTATTCAAGTGAGTCCTTTCCCACTGAGATACTTGGGGTTTGCACAAATAGCTGAAATACAACCCTATGAAAACAACATATAAATGACAATTATCTCAGATTTTTCACACTCCTGTGTGCCATTTGGGACCAAGCTCCCAATGCACAAATAATCATCAGGTTTGGTACTTGCATAGCTTTCTTCTCAACCACAGAAATAAGGGAGAGCATTATAATAATAGCTCTCACATTTCAAGGAGGGGATGATGTTAATGTCATTCAGGCCAATAAAGCGTTTAGCAGTCTCAGCA